CTTGCGCAGATTTTGCTTCTCCTCTTTCCTACTTGTTTCACCTGGTTTTGTTCATGATGTGGATTTGTGGAACAAACAGGCACATGCTGCACGCCGGCACCTTCTAGGGTTGGTAGTTCTGGGAGAGAGAAGGTGGTGGCAGCGTAGATGAGAGGGTGTTGGCTTTGCTTTAAGCAGGTGGAGGAGGAGCCCAGGTCTGGGAGGGTGAGCAGCAGAGTGAGGGATGGTTTGCAGGGGCCTGGTGCCGTCTTTCTGGGAAGTTAGCTCAGCGTACTCCGACCCTCCCTACTTCCCCATGAGCATGGCCTGAGGCAAATTAAAGAACTCAAGGGCTGGGGAACCTGGGGACCTGCTGTTGCTCAGCTATGTGGATGGTCCTGCCTTTTCCACAGGACCGATCACCTCTGAGAGGCCTCCCTGTTTAATATGGACTTTGAAATAGATTACGTTTATTTATTTTTTGACTGACAGAAATTATATGTATTTACCAGATACAAGATGATGTTTTGAAAATGTGCATATGTGGTGGGATAGCTAGTTGCGCTAAATAACATGCCTCGCATACTTCTTTTTTATGGTGCAAACACTTAAAATCTACTCTCAGGAATTTTGAAAAACATAGTGTTATGTAGAGTAATAGATCTCTTGAATTTATTCCTCCTGCCTAACTGAAACTTTGTACCCTTTGGCCAGGGTCTCCCTACCCCTTCCCCACAGCTCCAACTCTGGGTGATGGACACTCGAATCTCTACTTCTATGAGTTGTACTTTCTTAGATTTCTCGTATGGGTGAGGTCATGAAGTGTGTGTCTTTCTGTGCCTGGCTTATTTCCCTTAACATAATGGCCGAGATAGATTCTTTTACATGAAATTAAAGCAGATGGCCTTGCTTTTTAAACAAATTGATGAAGGACTCTTGAATTGGTCAAAGGTGGCAAAATAAAACATAACTGAAAGAATTCAGTTGTTCTCAAAGCTGGTCTTCTATCTATGGATGGTGGTATGATGAATATAATGTATCTCTTAGGCAAATGAGTTGATAGTGAGTGGGCCAAATGGGTTTAGGTCAGGCCAGAAAGGGGCATGGTCTGAGTCCCCTGTCCCTAGCAGCTCCTGGGATGGGCAGCTCTGTCCTCCTTCATTGAGTTTGGGCTTAGTCAAAGATGTGGTTTTGCTGAATAGGGACCTGACTTCAAATAACCTGCTCCATCACTTACTAGCTTTGCTAGTTCTGGTCATCTTTTCTTCTGAGCCCCAGTTTCTTCCTTTGAAAAATGATGTAATTATATGCACCTTGCAGGAGGTGTGGAGTGTGAATGAGGTAAGTGCCTGGCAGGAAGTTGGTGCTCAGTAAATGAGACCGTCCCTAGGTAGCATAAGCATGAATTGTGGAGGCAACTCTGCCTATCACTGTGAAGTACGAGGCCTCCTGTCCTCCACCCCTGTGCATTTCAAAGGCAAAGAGCTCCGCTGGGGATAGGTAGCTGTTCTGCACCACAGGCTGACTTTGCAAAGATTTCCTGGAGGAGGAGGAGGAGAATTTGAGGCTGCATAAAGAAAGTGGGAGAAATGATAGGCTCAGCGGAGTGGGGCGGAACAGCTCTGAGCCCTGGCCGTCCTCGCCCGCAGGACTGCGCCCGGGGCACAGCCAAATGCGTGGTGTTCAGCTGCCCACTCTACAGCTTCGACCGCGCGGCTGTGCTGCACGTCTGGGGCCGCCTCTGGAACAGCACCTTTCTGGAGGTAAGGCCACTGCTGGGGCTCCGGGCCGGCTTTCTACTTCTGCAAAAGTCCCACCGAAATTCACTTCTACCTCTCCGCTGTCCACATGCAGCACACGTAACCCCAGCTGGGCAGAAACACCCTCTGGGTCGGGCACCATTCCATTTATACCTTCAGGATCTGAGTGGCAGTCACGGGGCATTTAGGAGCAGGGTGTCCTTCCCCCTCCCTTAGGAGTACTCAGCGGTGAAGTCCCTGGAAGTGATTGTGCGAGCCAACATCACAGTGAAGTCCTCCGTCAAGAACTTGCTGCTGAAAGACGCTTCCATGGCGGTGAGCTGCAGGGTGGGTGGGGACGGGCAGGCGGGGCCTCCTCTTCTCTCCTGCCCTTACGCCGTTGACCCCTTGTTCCCCAGATCCCAGTGATGGTGTACTTGGACCCCGCGGCTGTGGTGGCGAAAGGGGTCCCCTGGTGGGTCATCCTCCTGGCTGTGCTGGCGGGGCTGCTGGTGCTGGCACTGCTGGTGCTGCTCCTGTGGAAGGTGAGGCTTGGGAAGCAGCAGGGCTGCTGGCACTACACTTCCTGGCCAGGCGGGCGGCCTCCTGTATGCACCCACACGCTCGCATAGCCAGTGACTCTGCTGAGCCCTTACCCTGGTTGCACCATGTGCTTTTTCTGGCTCTGGACATTTCAAAGATGAGTTAGGTAGAGATCCTGTCCTTGGGGTTTCATAGTTAGTGAGGGTGGTGAGCCTTGTAGTTAAGCATCGATCAAGTGTTGAGTTGAGAAAGTGAGTTCAGAGGAAGGAAGACTTATGCCAGGTGTGGTGGCACATGCCTGTAATCCCAGCACTCGGGAGGCTGAGGCAGGAGGATCCTGGCGAGTTGGAGACCAGCCTGCGCTACAAAGAGAGCTCAAGGCCGACCTGAACTGCATAGCAAAACCCTGTCTCAAAAAAAGGAGGAAGGAAGACTTGAGGAGGAAGTGGCCCCGGAGCCAGCCTGAGTGGGAGGTGGGGTAGTAGCGTCTGCACGTGGGCTGATGGAGTAGGTGGGGTGTGAGGCTTCCAGAAGGACCACGGAGACTGGGAAGTATGGTCTTATTTAACCAGAGTGTGGCAGTGAAGGTTATGAAGGAAACTATAGTCCGGAAGACCAGCAAGCATGGAGAACTAGCTCCTGGAGCTGCTGGCAGGGCTGAGCTTGGAGTCTCCACACACAGGGCTCCATGTGTACGCAGAGCTGTGACAGAATCTTATTGGCATCTGGGGCTGAACCTAAAAGGATGCATGCGCCTATGTCAGTACCAGGACTCCTGCACATCACCAGGGTTCATGCTCTCTGAGGCAAATGTCACACCTGGAGGTGTGTGCAGAGCCATGCTCATGGGGCCTCTGTGGAGAATGCCCTCCCCACTGTGACTGATTGCAGACCCCCACCCTCTGATAAACGCGCATCATCAGAGGAGCAGCTCTGGAGGGGCAGCCAAGTTGTTGGAAAGCTGCTCAGTCTTAGAAAGTGTGGCACCCTCCTGAAGCTGGCCCCAGACGCTTGCCCCCGGCAGAGATAGAGCCCCTCCTTCCTCGGTCTTCCCATCCTATGCCTCTTTTGCTCCCCTCCTCCCTCAATATCCCAGTGTGGCTTCTTCCATCGGAGCAGTCAGAGCTCATCTTTCCCCACCAACTATCACCGAGCACATCTGGCTGTGCAGCCCTCGGCCATGGAAGTCGGGGGCCCAGGGACTGTGGGGTAACTGTTGTGTGTGTGCACGTGTCTGTGCAGACGTGTGCATGTAGGTGTGTATGTGTGTGAGAGTAAGTCCAGCTCCTAGTGCTCAGAGGACCAGGGATGTGCAGCGTGGACAAATGAATCTGCATGGGGGGCCAGAACCGAGGTGAGAGGTGATTGGAAGGGCGGGGTCAGGAGGGTGCGTCCGCACCACTAGGCGCATGCGCAGAGAGTGGGGCGGGCTCGTGGACTGTGAGCATGTGGGTGCGGGAGCATCCATGCATGTGCTGCTGTCTCTGGGTATGAGTGCGAGATGGGCACGAAGATGCTGTGCAGCCCGAGCATGTAGGAGTGTTGGGCATTTCTAGTTGAGATGCAAGGGCTCTTACACGGGGGTAGCTCGGGCAGCATGGTTGTGACGGAGGGAGGAGCTAGACTGCTGTATCCACGGATGCGGCGGCCCTGTCCCAGCGGCTGCTGCCTAGTGTATGAGCACAGGGTGTAAGTGTGTGAGACTTGGTGTGCTGGGGTCGAGGAGGCCACCTTCCTCCTCAGCTCTTGCTTCTGTGCAGGTTTTATGTTGTGGCACCTCTTAGGAAGCCTGGGTGGGTGGTGAGCTTGGGGGTCCCACATTCAAGGCTCTTGTTCAAGGGCCAAGGGAGATTGCCTTGGTCCCTTGCCTTGGCATCTTCCTCCTGGTGGCCCCTTGCTGTGAGTGAGAACCTGCGGCACTAGCACCGAGGTGGCACCCGGGGGCTGCTCATCACCCTGGGTGCTGGCCATCCTGTCTTTTCTGCCTTGGTTGGTTCCTTCTGTCCCAGGGATGGTGAAGGGAGGGTACAGGGCTGTGCGGGTGTTTGCTCCAGGGACCTCAGCCCTGCCAGTGCCGCATGGTCTGACTTGATGTCTTACAGATGGGATTCTTCAAGCGGGCGAAGCACCCCGAGGCCAGCGTGCCCCAGTACCACGCGGTGAAGATCCCTCGGGAAGACCGGCAGCAGTTTAAGGAGGAGAAAACGGGCACCATCTTGAGGAGCAACTGGGGCAGCCCCCGGCGGGAGGTGCCCGAAGCACACCCCATCCTGGCTGCCGATGGGCACCCTGAGCTGGGCCCTGATGGGCATCCCGTGCCAGGCACTGCCTAGCTTCCTTTCTCCCAGCCTGGCCCATGGCCCCCTCCAGCCCTTCCTGAGATGGCTCCTCAGGATGGAGAGGGTGGACTGGGTTCCTGGCATCGCATCAGAACTTGGCAGGATCTGCTTCCTCAGGGGCACAGCCCTCCCCCCACGAGAACCACCCCCGGACTTCCCCTTAGAAAGCTGTGAGACGCGCGGGGTGAATCGGGGTGGGGGTGGGCAGGGCGAGATGGGCAGGGATGCCCTGGCGCAAGGTGTGGAGAAGGGAGCCTGTCCCCGCCCCGCCCACTCACCCGGGTAACCTGTCTCCCCCAAGTGCCTTAGCCAGAGGCCGGGGAGGAGATGGTGTCGCCGACTCAGGGGCTCCTCCCTCCCTAGGTCCCCTCTCCTCTGGCCTTAGTTTGCTGCATCAGTCTAGTGGGTTTTGTCTATTTATTAAAAAATATTTGAGGACAGAATCTCTGGCTGCCTTACTGAGACTGCGCCCTCGCCCCCAGGGCCCGATTCTCCGCCACGCTCACAGCCCCGGCCAAAGGTAGCAGTGGCAGGGAGGCTCAGGGGGCCTGGCAGGGACGCAGGGATCGTGGCTTTCGTGACCAGTTCCAAGTGGCACATGGGTTTCTCCGAGGGGGTGGGGCATTCACCATGGGGATGAGCGGCCGGGGACAGCCGCTGTGTAGCAGGTGGGTGGGCAAAGTTCAGGAATTTGCGGTGGGGACAGGCCGCATCTTTTCTGGTGAGGGTGGGGATGGAGCTTTTTTGCTGTGGAAGAGGGAAGGGACCTAGAGATCTCCCCTGGCAGAGGACCTGGGGGGTCGTAGGGGTTGGGGCTTCTCTCGTTCTTTGCCTGGTCCCTCTCAGGAGGAGACAGTGCGTGGTGGGGGGCTTGCTCTGACCGGAGGAGGGGGAGGGAGCCAGGGACTGCCTTGGGGGCTTGAAGCTTATTTCACAGCTTTCCCCATGATGTGGGGCCCCACAGGCAGCCATTTGATGGGAGGGGGATGCCATTCTATTTGCACCTCAGAGAAATGGGCCTTCTTAAGATCTTTCCAGGTCTCCCTGGTGAGGTAGCAGCCGTCCCCAATGTGTTTCCAGGTGGGCTCGAAAACTTGCTGCCACATAAAGGCCCTGCTTCCTTCGGGCTCAGCCACGTGCTCCAAGAAGAACAGTACTCCGCCCTGGGAGGGAGGAGAGAGTTGATGTCACTTATCTGCTCTACCGTCCCTGCCCCCTTTTTGGTATTTTTGAGACAGGTCTTGCTATATAGTTCAGGGCAGTCTTGAATTTGCAGTGATCCTCCTGCTTCTGCCTCCTGAGTGCTGGGATTACAGACGGGCCCCACATCTGTCCTTTCTTATAACCTCCTGCCTGCTGCCCAAGCCTAGTCAGACCTGTTGGTGACATGGGGGCTGCCGGCCTGCGAGTTCACTGATCAGGCTGTCCTGCTCCTAAGCCTTCCTGCATCTTGGCTCCTCTGTCCTCCCTGAAGTGATGTAAAGAACC